ATCGAATCGTTAAACAGAATCGAAAATGGAATCGGAATCGTGAAAATCTTATCAATACCCATCCCTAATCCTGATACTGAAAACCCCATTTTTTTAAGGCTTTCTCCAACATAAGATTATCTGCCCCAATGACAGGAATGACCCACACATTTTTTACATCTTGGCTCATCTGAAGAGTCATATGATGACTAGTGGGTTGATGACCCTCAAGACAGCCCACACCGGGGGTTTAATAAACTGTGACTCTCCACCAGTTGTTGTAGAACTGAAGAAGCTTCTTGAAAAAGAGATAACACATCTTCAAAAACCTAAAGACATCCAGTTGCATTTTTTAAGCTCTCAAGATTACCATGACTGAGAAGATATACAGAAATCTTAGAAAGAGAACTCCTTAAGCGCCTTGAGGTGACTGTTGTGATTTGGCGCTATATAAATAAAATTTAATTTAATTTAATTTAATTCAATAATCTGATGATCCTCGATGAGCAAGCATATGGCGAGAGTAGGAAGGAAGGGCTCCTATTTAACAGGAAGAACAACCAGAATCAGGGTGTCATGAAATGAGGAGGAGGACCCCCAAATGCAGTCTTCAACAGACAGATTTAAAGGAAAACTTAAGTGAAGGTTTTCAAGATAACATAGTCCAACAGGAAGCTAAAGCCGTGGAATCTAGAAGAGTCATGTGATCAAAAAACTTACTGGCAACACACCATGACAGATGACTAATCCACCAACAAAACAGATTAGAGCAAGAGCCACTTAGGGGAAATGAATACACCTATGGAGAACACACAGGTATCAACAATCATGGAAAAAAGACTAGGGGAAATACAACTGATCACTAAACATGTGAGACCAATGCTACCAAAATAAAACAGGAAACAAACAACATTTTACAAAGATAGCAAGATACAGGAAACATGGGGGAGCCAGAACAAACAGAATCAGGGAATGTAAGCAAACTATAACCGAGAACTAAAATAGACAGCAAAACTAAAACTAGGGATAGCCCGAGGATATACGCAAAGAAACCAACCGTGAATATCTGCAAAAAAAAAAATAGCAACTCAAAGCACAATAACAGAAGAATCACAAAAAGAAACACAAACCTTAAAATTTGGGCACAAAACCTAGTGACCGTGACATACAGAGGGACAGTCATCTACAGCAAGAACAAGCAGGACAAAACAAGGATCCAAGGATTTCATGCACAAATTTCATCATCATCATCATCATCATCATCATCATCATCATCATCATCCTCCATAACAGTCTACAATTCAGATTTCGGATGCAAAATATAGGCTGTGTGTCTTGACAGGCTAAATTACGCAGAATATTCTAAATGTTAGGGTAAGCAGCTGGGAAAGCATTGTGTCAGTTAGATATCCTCACTAAGATATGAAGCCAAAGAGCAAACTCAACATGAAGTCGTGTGTGTAAGAACGCAAAACAGTACTTGAGGTTTTGAGTACCACAGATAAAGCTGTCATCACACATTTGGATTCCAGTTCCTCTGACACACTCAGAAATGATGTCAGTAACATACTGGCAAAGACATAATTGTTTTAAAAAAAGAGTTTCTAGTGGGATGGCTGTTTAGCGCCGAATTCTTGCTCAATCAAGCCTCAGATATTCATTTCATTTATTTATTCATTTCAGGCACAACAGAATACATATATTGAACATAAAGTGCACAAAACAAAAATTACCTGAAAAGGATATTTTAACTTCACTTAAAAAGGCAGTGACTCACACTTACATGACCACTGTAAGGTAGTCATGTATTTGTCGGCTTACCGCTTTTCTCTTCTCTATTTACAACATCTCCAGTAATCTCAAATGGTCAAAAGAAAAAAAGAAAACCCCAAAAGCAGAAGTCCCCAAACCATTTGTAGTTTTGTTGTTATGTGTTACTGAAGGCTGATGGTAAGTATTCGTGTGGTTTTTGACAAATATGCTTTCAATTGACGTCCAAACCTGTGCTGGGGAAGTTTGTCCAGATGAGGGGGCAGTA